CAGCCCCTAAAGCTTGGCACTTTGAACTCAGACTTCTAGCCTCCTAAACTTTAAGAGAATAAATCTGTGCGTTAAGCCACCCATTTGTGGTATTTTCTGTTAAAAGCAGCACTGGAAAACCAAAACACTCCTCAAAAGAAATGTCTGGCAATCTACTTCCCAAAGATCACAGCCATTGAAAATCCAATGGAGTGTAGTTCTACTCTGCAACACATTCAGATATCATGAGTTGGAATTTATTCAATTCAACAGCAACTGGTTTGTTTGGGTTTGGATAATGTACCAAGCAACATGCTAGGTGGCAAAATGTGAAGATATTGTGATAAACAAGATTGATATGACCTGTACCATCATGAAGTTTATATTTTAATGGAAGGAAACAAATAAAGAGATAAACGGCCAAATAAGCAATAGGATTATGACTGGATAAAAGCTAAATTGTTGGGAAAGAAATAACCAGGTTGCTGAGATTGAGACACAGGGGTGGGTGTCAGAGAAGGCATCTCTGAGGAGGTGATATTTATGCTGCTTAAAGCATGAGTCAGAAGTAGTCATGAGAAGAGTTCTAATTAAGGAAACATTAAGTGCAAAGGTCCTGAATTGGGAAAAAGCTTGGCATTTCCTAAGAACTACAGATGGCCCATATGATTAGAGGTCGTAAGGTTGCTGGACAGTTGAGCCTTGCCTGCTTCTCTAGCCTTATTTCCCAAACCACAGGCCCATATGCAGCCACCCTAAATTCCAACCAGGCAGAGCTACCTGTTGTTTCCTTAATACATCATGCCCTCTCATTTTTACATTTGATCCCTCCTGTCTGGACTATTCTAGTTGTCCTGGTGTCTGGGTTGCTAAATAATACTTTCTTTGAAGAGTTTTGGTTCTCCTCTTCCCTCCTCTAGGTGGTTAAACTGATTCTTTCTTCTCCATACCTCCACAGACTGAAGAAGAAGAATTGATGCATTTGAATTATGGTGCTGGAGAAGAACACTGAATACACCACCGAATGCCAGAAGAATGACAAATCTGTCTTAGAACAAGTACAGCCAGAATGCTCCTTAGAAGCAAGGATGGAGTAGCTTAGTCTCACATACTTAGGATGTTAGAAGGAGGAACCTGTCCCTGGAGAAGGACAACATGGTTGATAAAATGAAGGGCCAGAGAAAAAAAAGAAGACCCTCAATGAGATGGACTGACACAGTGGCTGCAACAATTGGCTCCAACATAGTGATGACTGTGAGGATGATCAGAACTGGACAGTGTTTCATCCTGTTGTGCCAAGGGTCATTGTGAGTTGGAACTGACTAGACAGCATTTAACAACACCAACACAGACATCTATACGTACTTTTCCTTTCTTATAAAGCTAACATTGAGCGCTTCGTATGTGCAGGTACTGTTCTAAGAATTTTACCTGTATTAACTCAACTTTGTGAGGCAGGCTCATTTAATTCTCAAAAACTCTATGAGCTAAATATTATTACTAACTCTATCACATAGATGGAGAGCTCTGGTGGCTAGAGCATTTGGCTGTTAACCACAAGGTTGGCAGTTCAAACCCACCAGCTGCTCCGCAAGAGAACGATGAGGCAGTCTGCTTCCATAAAGATTTACAGCCTTGTAAACCCTATGGGGCAGTTCTACCTGTCCTATAAAGGGTTGCTAAGAGTCAGAATTACCTCAATGGCAGTGGGATTAAATAGATGAAGAAACTGAGGTCCAGAGAAGTAATTTGCCCATCGTTACATAATGAGTAACAACAACACAGAAGCTCTGGTGGCACAGTAGTTGAAGCATTCAGCTGCTAACCAAAAGGTTGGCAGTTCAAACCCACCAGCCACTGTGTAGGGAAAAGATGAGGTGGTCTGCTTCTGTAAAGATTTACAGCCTTGGAAATCACATGGGGCAGTTCTCTCTCCTATTAGGTTGCTATGAGTCAGAATTGACTCAATGGGAATGGGTAACAACACAATGAGTAGAGTCAGAATTTGAACCCAGGTAGTTTAGTTGCACTTTAGTCACTAAGACATTTTGTATCTTGAGATATAATAGCAGCTAACATTTATTAAACACTCAAAACATGCCAGGTATTCTTCTAAGTTCTTGACAAGAACAAATTCATTTAATCTTCTGACAACTCTTTGAGGTACATCCTCTTAGTCCTCACAACTCTCTTATTGGTGCTAAGACCATGAGTCTCTCTTGCATGGGACCCATGTCCTGTCCCAGTCAGTAATTCCAATGCTTTCCACACCTAGAAGTTACTCAACAAAGGTCTGCTGAATGAATGAATGACCTAGTGTCTTTCCCTTGATTCAGTATTCAAACTTCAGGAGCAACTACAATGTCCAGGAATAGTTGACTAGAAAGATTTAAAGTAATGTATTAAACATAAGAAAAAGACCAGGGTTACTGGTCTAACAGAGACTGGTGGACTCCCCAAGAATATGGCCCTTGGACACCCTTCAAGACTGGAACTGACTCACCTTTATGGCTCAACTTTCAGCCAAACAACAGACAGGTCTATAAGGTGAACGAAAACAACAGAGAGGTATGAACTCATTAGAACACTCAACCACACGAGGTCAAATAAAAAAGACAGCACTTGCCCAGGGATGAAACTTAGAAGGCAGAAAGGCATAGGGAAGAAGGACAAATAGAAATAGGAAGAAATGGGAAGAGTGCTGTTACATTGTGGGGACTGCAATCAATGTCATGAATCAAAATGAGTATGAATTGTTGAATTGCAAACCAATTTGCTCTGTAAACTTTCACCCAAATCACAATAAAAATTTTAAAAAACATTGGTAACTTCGAGAGTTCTGGGAGCATAGTGCCTGAGGCATTTGACTGCTAACCAGAAGGCTGGTGGTTCAAACTCACCAGCCACTCCTCAGAAGGAAGATTGGGTGATCTACTTCCGTAGTGATACCACCTTGGAAACCCAAGGAGGGGTCGCTATGAGTCAAGTCCGACTCAATGGCACATAACAACAACAACAACATTGGTAACTTCATTAACAATTAAACCAGAAAAACTACTGCCATCGAGTCAATTCCAACACATAGCAACTCCCATTGGATTTCCAAAGCTGGAAATCTTTACGGAAGTAGATTGCCTCATCTTCCTCCCACGGTGCAGCTGGTGGGTTTGAACCACTGACCTTCTGGTTAGCAGCCAAATGTCTTACCCACTATGCCACGAGACCTCCTAATTAACCACTAGGGAAATTTAAATTAAAACCATGATGAAATATCACTACACAGCCATTAGAACAGCTGAAACGGAAAACTGTGACAATATCAAATACCATGAGGATGCAAAGAAACTAGATCTCTCGTACACTGTTGGTGGGAATGTAAAATAGTATAGTCATTCAGGAAAATTGTTAAGCAGGCATTTTTTTTAAAGTAATTTATTTATTTTCATTGTTATTGAGAATTTACACAACTAATACTCCAATTCAAATTTCTCCATGTACAATTCAGTGACTTTAATTACATTCTTCGAGTTGTGCAACCATTCTCACCCTCCTTTTCTGAGTTGTTCCTCCTCTATTAATACAAACTCACTGCCTTCTAAGGTTCTTTCAATTTGACCCCATATAGATAGACCTTAAAAAGCATAATGCTCAAAGTAGACATTCTTTACTACTTAATTTAAACTTTTGGTTGGTTTTAAGAAGACTTAAGGGGATATTTTTGTTTTAAGGTTTAAAGATTATCTGAGGACAACAATTTGGGGGGTTCATCCAGCCTCTATGGCCCCAGAAAATCTGGACTCCATGAAAATCTGAAATTCTGCATTTTCCCCTTTTGATCAGGATTATTCTATGGAATCTTTGATCAAAATGTTTAGTAATGGTAACTGAGCATTATACTGTTGCAAAAACGACAAGGAGGCCACATGTTCTGACCTCCTCTAACCCTACAAGGGGAAGGCAGGATTACCAGCAGTAACCCAAGGCCTATTACTGCAAGACCAAACATGCTGCCTCCCTCCAGCCCTTT